TTTAGTTTTGATGCAAAAACGCATGATCGCACCGGCTCGCCTGGTGCGTTCCAGCCTTTGTATTCAGCTAGGAATTATGTGCTTAATTCTTTGGATGTGGCGAAGAAGGGAAACCGATTGCGTCACTATTGGAAAAACTAGTCTTATAAAGAGATCTGCTTATTTCAGCTTTGTTGCGGTGAAATATTGCATTCGCAGTAGCGCTGAAGCGACTCCCGACGATGATCCAGTGATCCTGTATATGGCTGCTCTTCTTGGCCCTTTGAATGCCCATACTGTTGAGTGGTTTGCAGCAGAAAGAAGTCAGGAATTCCGCGAGAAGTGCCGTGCGACGCTGTTGGAAGTGGAGAAGTTGACGCTTTCAGTGGACGAATGGAAGCGTGCAAATAGTGTGTTTATTCCTTCATCTCTCTGTGTATTTTGTCGTTCTAAGCACCTTTACTCTCTCCGTCCCCCTCTCTCTCTTTGCCTTTCTGTCCAGTAATTGATAAGCTGATGAGGTCGCTAACAAATACGTCTTATCAGAAAGCAAGTTTTGTTCGTATAGAAACTTGTGGATCTGCGGAAAACGTTAAATTGAATTGCAGTGGAATGCTTCGGTCGGCTGAATTATAGCGATCCGAATGGAAGAGTTGTGACATATCCGTACGACAACTTCTGCAAATCAGTTACTGTTTTAATGAAAAACTTAAGAGGATTGCCGGTGGCATATGATCGGATATCATTTGGCTGGGCGCAACATGCGATACAAAGATCTGCTACAAAGTATTATCATGATAAAACTTGGAAGGTGCTTTTTCTGCATTCTCTTTGCGCACGTCGTAACACTGCAATAGAAAACACATATTGTCAAGAGGTTATCGGCGTGTACGTGTGTTATGTGAGCTTTGTCTCCCACTTTCAGCTCAAGAACCAGAAGAGCTAGGAAGCTGAAACTTCACAGGATATTCCCTGAGCAAAAGATTTCAAACTCAGTTGTCAGGAATGTTTGCGTCACGCATATGAGCACGTGGAACTCCGCCGTTGGCACTTGCTAATTATAGAATTAACCGGCAGAAAATAGTTGTAATTTTACGAGAATATCGCCTTTATGGGAAATCATATACCTAAATTGAGTTGTGGTTGCACCTGTGTTGACCGTCGAAAATATTTGTGGTGATGTGGCGATTTCGGAAACCGAGCAAGCCAAGAGATTGAAATTTTACAAGGAAATTCTGTGCCTCTGTGCGAGTGCAGGGTTTTAAATGCACTTCAGAGGCACACTTATGTTTCGTTTGTCCGCAGTTAGAATTCCAGCTTTGAACGATTTCGCACTCATGAATTCCTACGACTGAACAGGAAGTCTCAGTTTTCTAAGCCTACTAGTATAATTCTGTTTTCGCATGTGCCTCGCTCATGGCTGCATAAGTTGTCCAAACTCTAACGCTTTTGTCATTCTCTTTTGATAAACAAATAGCCAACAAAGCAGAAATTTTATGAGAACACTTTCATATTTTGTTCGTCAATAAAAAGGTGAAATCAACTTCAACAAATGCCTAGATCTTGCATCTGTGCAAGAAGGAGATGAGATTGCAGTTTTCGACAGCACCTTTATGTTGGAGGTTACGATTTCACGCCGCCGCTGCAACACTGCTGTCCAGCCGATGCCTCTTTTCTTTCACATTCAAAAAAAGGCAAAAACACTACCAAATTAAGTGAACATGTTAAACTGTTAAAAAACAGCTATTCATATTACAATATTCCTTGTAATGATCTGATTGCTTCAAGGTTAACGCCAAAACGCATGACCGCACAGGCAATTCTAGTGCGCGTTGCTACCTGATTTTCTGTTTATTGTCTCAGTTATAAAGTAAAATCGTGAAACTGATTATGATGACATAACACCTGTTGAGAGTGCCAAAGGTATTCCAGGTATCACAAATATTTGTCCAAACGGGTTTATATTTTTAGAAAGAAAATATGCATGAAGTGATATGGACCGTGCTAGCGCAGAGGCCTGCCCTCAGAAATTATGTTGTGCGAATACTCACCGATCAGTTCAAGGATGCAGAGGAGGCACAATTTTGGCAAACATGTGATATACCAGCAAACAGAAGGACGATGATCGGGGACACCTGGTACTTTTAAAATTGAGCTTGATTTAAGCCGGCAGAAAGATAGCACCAACTGTCGACTTCATTTGCCTTTCGCAAAATACACTTTTAATCTGATTAGAACATGATCTGCAGCAGTGTTGCTAGCTCGTGTCGAGAAAAGATATATGCACTTCTAATAAATGATGCGGAATGTTCGCTTTTCCGATCTCGATCAGAGCCTTTGTCTATTATGCAGCTTTGAGATGAAATGCTTGATTTGCTTCATTCACACTGACCCACACGAATGCTCGTCATATTAGCTTTGCCAGTTTTCACATGCATTAATTCCAGCATTTTCATTCCTTTTATCCACTTTGTGCTGTTCTAATCATTATTATTTACAATGTGCCGGAAATGCTGGGAACCGTCCTTCCTGAAGCGGTCTGCAGACAATAGTTTTTATGCGTTTTTTGCAGCTCTGCAATGCAGGAAACGCATATTGACGAGGGGTTGCCTGTGTGTGTTTGTGTCTGTGTGTCCGTGTGTGCGTCTGCCACGGTTTTTCATCTCAAAACCTACAAAAGCTACAGGGCTGAAACTTTCGGAACTTAATCTGCATGCACGTACGGACCTCCAGTTCCCAAAATTGGCGCCATTACCCGCGTGGTACCCGCGTACGGGCCCGCTAAAGTTTTTTTCGGGTGAGTTCATAACTCGGGGATTTGAGAAGCTAGAAAGCTGAAATCTTAGGAGGATGTTTCCCGTCCAAATGGGTATTAGTGAGCTCAAATCCAGCCCTGGGTAAGCATGGTACCCGCGTACGGACCCGCCAAAATTTTTTTCGGGCAAGCTGATAACTCGAGTACTTTAGAAGCTAAAGGACTGTAATTTTAAGAGGATA